CGCAATGCTGCTAAAATGTTTGCACTTGTTGGAAATTCACCCTTGTCATAAAAGCTGTGAACCACTCTTCTGACCACTTCACTGTCGAAATCGTCAAGATCAGTGACAGGTTTGTTACGACTGTAACGTTTTCTAGGTGACCGAAATTTTATATCTGTAGAACTTCCGACACCTAACTCTTCTTCAACAATAAGAGATATAGTTTTTCTTTCCTTACAAATTCTCTGTATAGTAGACCGACTTACCCCACAAGCATCTGCCGTACGCTCTTGACATAGTCGGAAAAAATTTGCCACTTCCGGTTGGTCTTCTTTACTGGCCAACATTTTGAAATAATTGTACACGTTGTATATAGTTTTTTTGGTTTGAGAATGTATATCTGGCCGGATCGACATTTCAATTAAACAATATACCTACAAAAATGGTGAAAAACCCCAAAAATACAAAAATGTACAAATAAACAGTAAGAATTTCGTAACAAACTCAGTTCAAATTATAACAACTAGTACACACAAGACACAAAATACATGTTACACGAAGCAAAGAGGTCCAGTGACTAACATAAAGGTCACACAGCAGATGGTTTAATGGTTAGAGGTTTGTATTAAAATCTACAGGTATTCGGCATGCAACGGTCACACAATAGTTGACTATTATATATGCGTTATAGGCTATTGTATATTTTCCCCCCGAATTGTATTTCAACTATAATACGTATCGTAAACTATAATCACAACACTACGTATACTCTGTTCAAAATGAGATGATGATTCGGAGGCCAAGTTGTGCGCATGGGCGTGGCTTTGTTCCATTGCAGCGCGCGACGCGTCTCGGTAGTGGGGACATCGTCTGACCGCCGCTACTGATTATTTACAATAGAATGAGAACCACTTTTCGTGAGCCGGATTACAACCTAACATATTATTCACTATATTCATTTCGAAAAAAAGATCGCGCAGCTGCACAAACAACCAAAATATTTAGAACCCCTGGTTTACACGAAAACGGCCACTAGGGCACGTAACCGTCAAGCTTCTAGTTTCGCTGGCCGCACTATAGTATCGAGTGCGGCCGCTGGCTGTAACGGGCGCAGCACATGACGAGCGTAATTAAACGTTTTTTTACCGAAAAACATGGTTTCGTACTTCCAGGAATACGGCTTATTGAAGCGTTTTACAGTACAAATACCTATTACAAAAATTGTAGAGGAGAATTTTTTCTAGAAACCTAAGAAGCCCGATTTTTGATATCTTGTTCCAATCGTCCAATATCGCATGGTAAATAAACACGGTTTTTTTAACTTTTAATCAATTAATTATTTAACTAATTAATAAAAATATCAAAAATCGGGCTTATTCCGTTTCTAGAAAAAATTCTCCTCTACAATTTTTGTAATAGGTATTTATACTGTAAAACGCTTCAATAAGCCGTATTCCTGGAAATACGAAACCATGTTTTTATGCCATATTTTGTCTACTGTGACATCCTCTTAAGACATATAACAATACATATCATAGAACAATAAAAATGAAACCTGTTGAAGTTAATAACAAAAACGAGAAAGAACTACTTTCCACTGTTTATAATTATGATATTAGTACTTGTAAGCCTAAATTTGAAATATATGATGGAGTTAGATTATCTTCAATAAATGATGTGTATCGAAATAAATTAAAAACAAATTGGTCTAAAGAAATATTTATAATTGAAAACATTTTAAAATCGAACGTGAATTATTATAAAATATATGATATCAGTGGTACAGTATATGAACAAGAAATTTCGTTATCATTATTATAACCATGACGAAATAACAAGGTATGATCACAACTTTGTTTTAAATCTCTATTTGGTATCAGAAATAAGAGTGGGATCTTCGGCATTTCATTGGTCCTTGATATTATGCTGATAAATTATAAATTATAATCGATGAAAAGTTTTAAAAAATATAGGTATGCGTAAGTAATTAGTTTTATAACTTATTTAATCATGATTTATTATAATAAATAATAATTATACTATTTAGTGTAAATTTAAATGTTTTAATTAAAAAACTATTTATTGAAGATGTATTATACAAATACAATATAATATAATAATATAATATTAAACTAATTTCATGGCTATTTGATAAATTTTGGTTTTTTTCGTGTTTCTACTTTTTTTTTTTATATTTATCTGAAATTAATTGTTTGTTAAGATTATTCATTCTTATGAATGTCCGTGTCCTAACTAGACAGTCAATAACTTCTTGCGGAATAGACAAATATTGAATTATTGGTGTCAATCTATTAATCATATTTTTCATTATCCCTTTACTTTTTGTAATATTATCACCATTCACTAATTTAAATTCAATTTCAAGAAATTTGATTGCTGCCATCAAATTGTTTGATGGTAATTTCAAACCACCTCTTGACTTGAAATTAGTCCAACAGTCTTCTGCAACATCACCATCATCTGTTTGTTTTATCAAATCTGGTTATTTGCTGGCAAACCGATTACAAATAATATAGCCAGCTACATATTGAGCACTATCCTCTTCAAGCTCATTAAAAGGTTCATTTTCTGCCATCTAAATCACATTAATTATTAATATTTACTATGTTTGATTGTGTGACTTAGTTATGTACTAAAATATTTTTAATTTACTTCAAATTCTCACAGGAGATCAAAGCACTGTTCACTGATTATTGGTGTACATTCACTACCAATATTTGACTGTACGTTGGCTACTTCAGTTGGGTCATCTGTTTAAAATGTACTCAAATTCAACATTTGACTAGTCAAACACTCATTTTCAGTCAATAATCTGTTTTCGAGATCAACCAGTGAGTTTTTATTCTCGGTAAATACAAAATCTGAATGTTTTCCAAGAATGTACCATCTCAGGCTAAATATTTTTTGTACACAATTATACATTTTTATTTTAGATTTAATTATTTTATGACTATTTATGTAAACTATAAATAATTAGGTAGTTATACATAATTTAGTTATATTAATGCATTCAAATTTCAAACTATATAAATACTTGCCAGTATTTGAAATCCAGAGCTGTTATACTACTGCTCGCTGAACCTGTCATGCCTTTCAGAAAACTAAATAGGTTTTCTATTATATCTTGATTCAGCCTCCTACCAATGATGTACTCCATGCCATGTTCATCTTTTAAATATTTTAGAAGGATTTTAAAGATTTATTGCACACTGCTATTCCTATAATCATTGTAATGGGATTACGCAATATCATGTATTTGCTCATAATAACAACCAGGAATGGGATTACGCAATATCATATATTTGCTCATAAAAGCAACCAGGAATGCGACCACACCCAAAAGTGTTTTCGACTAAGAATACCACATTCATAGTCGTGAGGTCCATATCAAGGACGACTGTACACGCGCCGCTCACTTCAAAGGACGCCGCCACCATATATATAGGGGACAGCGAGACAGCCAAAGTAGATGTACCAGAGCCGCCAAGACCGAGCGAGCCGCTTAGCCACCAGCCATTACACACGACTTACATGGAGATTATCGACTACTACAACGAGTCAACTCACGACGCTGCAATTCACCACGACTATATTAATTATTATTGGTTTTTTTAATAAATTACAATTGATTTATATTTAAATTGACTACATTTTATTGTAAAAGTGCAACAAGCTTTTGGATCCCTGAAGGGCCGCATGTAACATCATCAACAAATAATTAATAAAACAATATATGTTTATTATAAAATATAAAATTACAACCTTTTTGAAAAGGCACAAGGGTTTTTTTTCCATATACTCTCATTTCCAATATAAAAGTACTCATTTTATCTAGAAGTTCATCTTGATGCTCTAAATTTATTCCATACCTTGGAGTACCGCCATCAAAATTATTCTAAGTGTTGAAGATGTCAAACCAATTATTGAACAGCAGAATCATTTCAGAGGCCTATTTTTCAGGTAAACATATATTCATAGGTCTATTATTTGAAGCACATAAATTAAAAACCTTTCTTACATCTTTCCAATTTTGCTTATCTAAATAATTTTTTTCCCCACAATAAGCTATGGCTTTAGCAACAGTATCTGAAAATACTTGCGAAGCCAGTTTTACATTCATCCTTCCATAACCCTGTACTTCCAGATGTCTCTCAGTCAAACGATATGCTAATTTTAAGTCTCCTGAATCGATTTTCAAAAGAGTCTGTAAAATTGATTTACCCACATACTTTGAATTTGGAAGTACAAAACCACTAAAAAATTAATATTTATTATTTTATATTATTAAATTTTCTTTTTATTTCTCAATAGTCAACTTGCCAAATAGGTGATTCCTGGCTAATTTCAAAAGATGAGGCACATCTGCAAAACATGTATTTTATTGGAAGTAGTTGGATGTTCAAACGATGTATTTTCAATTGAAATGTTCAAGGTCCGCCATAAACCCATGTTTGAATGACCCATGTCGCTTACCATAGCAATAACATTGAAATCAATTTTGTGTAACTCTTCAATTATGTTAAATAATAATTCTTTAGTCATTTTAGTATCATAATTATAAAAAATTGGCTGTTTCCAATTACTTGTAAGACCAAAATTGTTATTGAATTACATTTTATAAAATAATGAATTTAATAAGGCAATAGTAAATTGAATTATTATTTTCAGTCAAACTCAAATAATATTTGGTACCTCTAACTACAACCGTTTGTACACATTTATGTGGACCAATTACTTGTTCGTTCTTTTAGTCATAACATAATCTGTTAGACACGTAAGTCTCGTCAAAACAAATTACAGTGAGTTTTTCTCTACTAGTCATAAGTGTTCTTTGAAAAATAAATATAAAGCCTGATTTACACGATGCCAGTTGTTGGCATACACTAGCTACTAGTAGTGTTTTATTTTTTTATATCAATTCAAGTACTGAATTGTAGTGTACACGTTATTACAGTCTTGTATAAAATATAAACATTGTCTTATAATATTTTAATATAGTTATGGCAGAAACAACATACAGCGATGAATTAAAAAAAGCAGTGTGTTCTATTACTACAGTATTGTGTGACGTACTGTTGGAGATATGTGAAGAAGAATCGAAGAAGAGAAAAAGAAAAGTTTGGGTTAGAAATTGGATGGATAAAAAGAAATGCAGAGCATCAGAAACAATTATAAGAGAACTTAGAGACAATGATCCACTTGAATTTAAGTCTGTTATCAGGCTTGCACCCGAACAGTTTGAAGAGTTGTTACTTAAGATAAGTCCGATAATAAGCCGTGCTGACTTTTATGCGCCCAGCTTTACCTGCCAGGCTAAAGTTAGAATTAACCCTAGCATTCTTGGCCTCAGGAACAAACTCTAGAATACTGTCAGTAATGTTCCGCGTTTCCAAAGCATCAATTTCAAATATGATACCTGAAGTATGTGATGCTATCTATTCAGTTTTGAGCGATTACATAAAAGTAAGTATTTATTTACAAAAAAACAATATACATTTATTTATAAAAAAAACTAAAAAAATTGAAAACTGACAATGTATTAATTAAGATATTGTACATCAGATCCAAAGAAATCACTATTGATATCAGAGTTAACTATAGCTGAATGTATGATATCTGCCGTTGTAGATGCAGCACTACTAGGGCGGCTACTACTTTCTCCACTTGTTGTTGTTTGTGGTGTATATGGATTGAACTGAAAATTAGATGCAACACTACTAGGGTGGCTACTACTTTCTTCACTTGTTGTTTGTGTTGTATATGGGTTGAATTTAAAATTAGATGCTACATCACTTGGGCGGCTATATAAAGTCGATGGTGATACCCCTCTCATATTTTTTAACCGGAAATTCATCAAAACTTTTTGTAGTTCAAAGTTTGCTTATACCCTATCGTATGATGGTAACTCCCGCAGTTGAATCGCAATGTGCTTCCCTATTACATCACACTCATCATCCTGAATAGCTGTTTTTGTAGTATTCATTGTTTCATTTAAGTTTTTTAATTCATGGACGGCATCGGTTATGGCATCCAACCTTCGTTTTTGACCTTTGTTTTTTGAAAATGGGGGGATATTTAAACTCGGCTTATCACGTACAGGGGTACTTTTTAACTGTTCTCCTGCATTAGTCGAATCGTCTTCAAGGACATCTTCATCATCTTGTTCATGAATAGTGTCTTATTCTTGAATAGTGTCTTGGGTTATGGTTCCCTAAAACGTTAAGTATTTCAGATTGTTACAAGTTATTACAATTTCTACTTTTTTTCAGGTGCCAAATTTAAAGGAATAGGAAGAAATTCAATTTGGTTTTAATGAAAAGTGGAACTTCCCTGGATGTTGCGGAGCCATAGACGGAAAACATGTAGTAATTAAAGCACCCCCAAGTGCAGGGAGTGAATACTATAACTACAAAGGTACAAACAGTATTGTACTTCTTGGTGTAGTCGACCACAACTATTGTTTCAGATACATTGATGTCGGATCTTATGGGCGAAATGCTGATGGTGTTGTTTTCCAGTACTGTGATTTATATCCTTTACTAGAAAATGATTCGTTACTACCAAAAGGAGGAGTACTGGTAGGAGATGATGCCTTTCCCTTAAAAACTTACCTTATGAAACCCTATTCAAAGGTAAATCTGACTAAAGAAGAAAAAATATATAACTACAGAACCAGTAGAGCACGAAGAATTGTGGAAAACGGTTTCGGTATATTGGCCAGCCGGTTTCGTATTTTTCAACAACCTATGGCAGTAAAAGTTCCAACAACTATAAAAATAGTAAAAGCTGCATGTGCCATACATAACTGGTTACGCTTAACTCCACCTACCACTTACACACCACCAAGCTGTTATGACTACGAAGACATTGTCAATGCTACAATAATACAAGGGGAGTGGAGATCTGAATTGTCTCAGCTGCCAAGTATGTTACGGACACGAATTAACAACAGACCAAAGAAAATCGCACAACAAGTGAGAGACAGATACAAGGATTATTTTAATGGAGAGTGGTCAGTGGAATGGCAAGACAGAATGATTAAATAATTATTATGTGGTATCACCCGTATTGGATAATACGCGGTAAACCAACTTTATACCTTACCCTCGTACGCTCTAGGCTAATGACTGTCTCTAGAATATATTCAGATTAGCACTGTTAACCTTTGAGGTACGATGGTAGCGTTTTGTCAGTTCTTCGTTCGTTTCCTAAATTGGAATGACTATTAGGACGCCACAACCAGAGCACTGTTCAGTTTGTAATAAACCTCATTGACTATAGGTGTGTGGGTCTGAGCACTGTTCCAATATTAAAGGTAAGAACGAAGAAGACTTTGAAATAAAACTCAACTCGGGTTTTTAGGTCGGAAACACTTTTATTATATTAAAACAAACATAAATTAAACACTTAGCAAATCCGGATTGCCTAGCCCGTACTACGATCGACGTTTCACACGTACGACCACAGTACCTACGTCCTCGCCGATTCACTCAGCGACAACGGGACTCTCTCTGCCTGCGCGTGCGGCGGTGTTATATAGGTAGTAATCTTATCGCTGTCTCAGCACATATGCTTCACTGACCTATGTCAATGTTTTACAATAAAAAGTTCCCACCTCTATTACATATATGAAATAATATTTTGACGACTGTCTACAATATACGACAGTCCCCTTTGTTTTTTGGAAAAAATGCCCTCATTTTTTAATAATTTTTTTTACATACAATTGTCTTATTACTACATTAAATACTAATCTACTTTTACACTATATTTCTGTCTCGGCTTATTCGCGTCGTTGACTATAAAATTATACTTAAATGTTAATTTTAATTTACTAATTTATTTTTTTTAATGCGTGTTTTAAACAAGCAATGATATACTAACACAGTATAAAATAAATCCTACAGACCGCTTGGGCAGCGAAAAACATTTAATGCTAGAAACCCAGATAGTAGACTATTCTAACGAAGTAATCGTATACAATTATTCCAACGTATATAGTAATATTCCAAAAGGAATGACAATAGCCACAATTCACGAATTAAACATGCAAAATAATTAACACAAATTACATAAAAATTAAATTTAAAACAGACAAATCGATATTTCAACCGCCGTAATTATTTTATACTGTATAAAATTAACTCGAAATATGAATACAAAAAAAAATCTCTACCTGTGGCAATATTATGTGAGGATCTAGAAACAATTAGAAACATATAATTCATAAATACATATTAATGATTAATAATTTTTTTTATAATATAAATATAAATTGAGTTGTATTTTATACTGTATTATAATGTATGACATTTTTACTCAGAATATAGATACAAAAATTTATGTGAATACATATAAGGTTATAATAATTTATTGATTGGCTCTTTGTGGAAAATGTTTTCTTAGAGATTTTTCTCAGTTTGAAGTATAATATTTTTATTTCGACAAATAACAGTAAATGATTGTTGTTCTTCTACGGCATTTTATTCTTCGATTCTGTGGTAGTTAATTCTTCTTCTCTTTTTGTATTTCATAAGGTAAGAATTTATTATCTTGCTTGTTTTAGTTTTTCTTCTTATAATCTGTATATATATATTTTTTTTTATTTATATATTATATTCTCATATATTATTTTTTCAAACCTCTGTTTTGACTGCAGTATCTTCTTCGTGTCTTCGTATGAAAAGGTATTTGCTTATTGTTTTTATAATTATTGGTTTAATGCTTATTGTCTACTTTGAAAATATTATATTCGCACTTTGTCTCAGAAGATTGTTGCGGCTTGTTGTCTGTTGACTCGTGAATTTTGTTTATGCTGAAAATACATTCTATTTTTTGTTTTTTATTTATATATATTTTTACACCTTTTTTTTTTTATAGAATTAATTTAACCTATATGTGACATATACTTAATTTACTTATTATTTTTATTACTTAAATAAAAATAAATATATATGAATATACGAATTTCATAATGTTACATAATTTCTTGTTTTACTATAATTTGATTAATAATTGTTCTTTTTTTTTTTTTTGCATTATTACTTATTAGTATTATTATTTATTTATTTAATTTAATTCTTCGTGGTATGGCTTTAGTCTATCTACGTGTATGGTATCCGTTGTTTCTTTTCCATTTAGTGTTAATGCAATTTTGTAATTTACGTCCGAAATTTTTTCTAAAATTTCAAAAGGGCCTCTGTATTTGTGCGCCAATTTTTTTGATTCTCCTTGTTTCTGGAATTTTATTTTTACTAGCACTTTTTGGCCGGGTTGGTATTCCACTTCCTTGTGGTTCTTGTCGTACTGTTTCTTTTGCTTAATTTGTTCTGCTTCTATTAATTTTGGTAATTCTTGCCTAATTTTTTGTAGTTGTATTATTTCTTCGATTCTATTATGGTCTGTTTCGGGTGGGATGATTTTGTTGTCTAGAGGTTGCGTTGCTTCCGTGCCGTACATTAGGTAGAATGGGGAGTAACCAAATCTTGCGTGTGGGTGTGTATTATATGCAAATATAATCATTTTATAATATAGTGCCCAATTTTTTTGGTTATTGTCGACGTAGTGTGTTAAGGCGTTGCATATAATTTTATTCATTAATTCGGTCATTCCGTTGCTCTGGGGGTGGTAACTAGTCGAAAAAATTTGAGTTATTCCTAATTTTTCACATATGTTTTTTACTTCGGTATTTTTGAAATGTGTACCTCTGTCGCTGACAAAGTATTTTGGTGTACCGTAGGTAGTTATTATGTCAAATAAAAAATCGATGGTCGCTGCTGCGTCTGCGTTTGTAACAGCCTTTGCAAAAGCCATTTTGGTCGCGTTGCAAGTAGCCACTATTAAATATTTTTTACCTTTTGACATTGGTAATGGTCCTAAATAATCGAAACATAGTCTAGACATGGGTTTTGTGTCGGTTAACGGAATAGGTTGTAATAAACCTGGCTTTTTACCATTTTGGTTTTTTGAAAATTGACATGACGCACATGTTTTTATGAATTTGTTTGTGTCTTGTATCATTGTCGGCCAGTAATATTTTTTCTTTAGTCTTGCTAATGTTTTGGTGATTCCGAAATGTGCTGATAGTGCTGACTCGTGGTAAGATTTTAGTACTATATTGACTAATTTTTTTGGTATTACTAACAAATTTTTGACTCCGTTCGGTGACCAATTTTTGAAAAATAAAATATCGTTTTCAATTAGGAATTGTCTGGACTTTCTTTTGTATTTTGAATTATTATTTTCTTTTATTGCTGATATGATGCCTTTGCAAAATTCGTCGTTTAATTGGTTTTCTTTAATTTTTTCTATATTTATTGTGTCAAAAGTTATTTCTTCTGTCTCTGTGGTTTCAAAAATATCTTTTACTTGTAACGTGTCTACTGGGTATCGTGATAAGCAGTCCACCGCTGTGTTCCAAAGGCCGGGTCGGTGTTTAATTTCAATGTCGAATTCTAATAATTTGAAAATAAATTTTGTTATTCGGGACGATGGATTTTTCATTGTTTGGTAATATTGTAGACTAGAATGGTCGCTAAATACTATTACTTTTCTGCCTAACAAATATTCTTTAAAATAGTTCACTGCAAAAACAACTGCTGACATTTCTAATTCAGTGGTAGTGAAGTTCCTCTCACCCCCCTTTAATTTCCTCGAAGCGAAAGCTATAGGGTGTCGTTTCCCATCTTTGTCGTTTTGTTCTAAAATTCCCGAGAGTCCTTCTAGTGATGCGTCCGTGGTTACGAAAACTTGGTGTTCGTCCTCAAAATGAGCTAGTACGGGGGCCGTTATTATGGCATTTTTTAATATATTAAATGCATTATCTTGAGAGTT